GCACTGACGCAGGAGGCCACGCGGGAGGAACCACGTAGGTGATCCGCGTGCGCGCAATCGAACGGCTGAGGTCCCTTCCCGCGCGCACGGATGGCCTGGATGCGCTCCCTCCCAAACTCAATCGAATGACTAGATTAAAAGCGATCGGACGGCCCCGAGTGAATCACGATGGACGATCCAGATTGGATTGCGATGAACGGTCCAGATTCACTCTCTATTTAATCGCGATCGGACAGTTCAGACCAAACGCGATGGACGACCCAGATCAAAAGCGAATGGGTATAAATAACTTCCATCCGCACCAAACCCTAACTCTAGCCACCAGAACCCCTTGCCAGATAAGACAACCCAGCCGCCGGAGAGCCGACCGCTGCCGCAATAGAACCCTTTCCGATCGCCAAAAAGGGTAAAAAAATTTTCTTTTGCATGAAATTCAATTTTAAGCCCACCCATGGTCATATCGGAGTGAAAAAACCAGCCAAATGGTCAGAAAACACTGACGAATCCTGGTGGCGTCGCCGCAGGGAATTTCACAAACCGCCTCCGATGAGGCCCTTCCCGATTCTCGTTTCGCATAATTTTTCCACCTTGTGATCACCGTTTTCTTCTCTACAGGTTGACCGAAGTGAAACATCCAACCGCAACGTGAGTTGGAGGAATCGCCGCACTGGATAGCCCTGTCGTCGGTGAGTCTCAGTTTTTCGTATTTTTTTCAGCCCACCGAGACCCTTTGGCATGTGTGCTCATAGGAATCGATGTAAATCAGCTGAATTTGGTCGAAAACAGTCGAAAACAGCAGATACGTTGAAATTGGCTGAGTGGATCCTGGGACTGATTTTGAGTTTATTTGGAACATTTGTATGTACTGTAAGCGCGTTTTAGTTCTCGAAGAAAAATTCAGGGAACCTAGAGACCGTCCGTTGGCGCAGTAAACCGTTTAGTTTTTCGATATCAAATCGAGTAAGGACCCCTCACTCTATTCCCTATCATAGAATTGAAGTTTAAATAAATAATAATACGATATTTTGTACAAATTAAATAGATGTGCATAACTAATTATGAATTGCTAATGGAGTCCGAATCGGACATTGTTCTCTATTGATTTATTTTACAGTCTAAAAGTATGATAGTATCTGATTTATCTATTTTATAATTTAAATGTATGTATTACTGTCTTACCTGACTACTGTTTGATTTGGAATTTTAGACATGATTGCATTTGTAACGGCCCCGAAAATTTAAAAGGAAATACATATAATAATTTGAGTGTGGAAGCGAAATAAAAGGTTAAGGTTAACATCATTTACGTGATAACTTAAAAGTACTAAACAAACATCACGAAATAAATTCTCTGAAAGAAATACGAGAAATGGAAAAAAATAAAGGAAACTATAAAGTATCTAGCATATACTCGCAGCCTTCTTGGGAATCGGGCTCGGGAACTAGGTCATCCTGATATGAAATGGTTAAATAAGGGATGAGCTACACTAGCCCAGTAAGGACATCACACTATATCACCGGCACAAAAGTAAAGGTTGGTAGAAAATAAAAAACAACCAATGGAGCTCTAAATTTAAACTAATACATTCATTAAAAGTAAAACCATTTACCCTTTTACTTACCATTGGGGAATCTGTGAAAACAACCTATAAAGACAATAATATCATACAGATCATAACTTGATGCACAATCAGTAACATAGAACATATCATAAATTCATATTCATTAACAATAACTAATCATCACCGTTTCTCGTTTCACTAGCCTACTAGTATCCATGAGGATCCATAGGGGTGTCCCTGCTACACGTGAACCATTTTTCTTAACAATCTTAATTCCAGGGCTATCCCCATACCCCGTTTGGTATGAGTGCCAAGACATTAAACCTCAATACCCTATCCGGTATGAGGGTGAAACGAGTCGTCCCCATACCTCGTCCGGTATGAGGGCCAAATGACCAAGTCTCCATACCTCGTCTAGTATGAGACAACGTTCACGGTAGAGTTTCCTATGAACCCGGTCCGTCCACCATCTCCCAGGATATCTAGTAAGACTGTCACCTTATCTGTTTATTAGATCACATCCATTTCCTATTTTTCCTTAATCTCTGTTACCAAATTAAACACAATCACGTAAACAATGAACATGCGCCCGGTAATACAATCATATCTTAAATCCCAAAATCACACAGTGATCAAGTAAGACACTAATACATGCATTTAAAATCCTAAACCAGATATCATTATGCCTTTAAACTGTAAAATAAATAAACAGGAATCAATAGAGAATAATGTCCGATTTCGGGCTCCATTAGCAATCCGTAATTAATTATGCATATTTATCTAACTTGTACAAAAGATTGTATTATTAGTTATTCAAACTTCACATCTATGATAGAAAAGAGGGTGATGGGTCCTTACTTGATTCGATGCTGAAAACTAAATGGTTCCCTGAATTTTTCTTTGGGAACTAAAACGTGCTTACGGTACCTACAAATGTCCCAAATAAATCCAAAAATCAGTCCCAGGGCCTACTAAGCCAATTTCAGAAATTCGGCACGACGGCTCCGCCGTGCTCCAGCGACGGCGCCGCCGCTCGCGATAGTGACCCACCTCGGGTTGGGTATTTTCAGCCGAATTCAGCCAAACATGACTCGGTTCCTATGAGAAAACACACTTAGGGAGCTCAGTTGGCCGAAAAAATGTAGAAAACCCAAACTCACCAGCAGTGGGGCACTCTGGTGCGGCGGCTCCTCCGGCTCACATTGTGGTTGGGTGTTTTGCTCTGGTAAACTATAGAGAAGGAAACGATGATCACAACGGTGGAAAAATCAAATCAAACAGGAATCGGGAAGGGCCTCATTGGAGGCATTTTTTGAAACACGTAGCAGCAGTATTGCCGAGCTTCAGCAGCGTTTTCTGACCAATTGGCTGATTCTTTCACTCCAATTTGGCCATGAGTGGGTTTAAAATTGAATTTCGTGCAAGAGGGAAAATTTTTACCTCGTTTGGCGGTCAAAAATTGCTCTGGTACGGTGGCGGGTGGCGGCGGTTGTCTCCCTGGCGGCTGGGCTGTCGTCTCCGGTGAGGGGCTTTGGTCGCTAGGGTTAGGGTTTGGGTGCGGATGAGGTTATTTATACTCATCCACTTTTGATCTGGGCCATCCATCACTTTTGATTTGAACCGTCCGATTGCAATTAAACATGGAGTGAATCGGGGCTGTTCATCGCAATTCAATCTGCACCGTCTGTGCGCGCAGAAACGGATATCAACTGTTCGATCGCGCACATGCGGATCACTCACGTGGCTCCCCCCCGCGTGGCCTCCCGCGTCAGTGCCTTTGCCACCTGGTGCGTCTTGGTTGGTCAGGGTTGCTCACCGGGCACCTGACGTGGCCTAACTTTTCTAAATTGTATTTTGACATCCGTTTTCTGATTTTTCTTTCAAAAATACTTCTAGAACCCAAATTTTTACCACTTTTCCCCAAAATTGTTTTCAAATTAATCCTTAACAAGTTTTACCTCTTTTTTTTATTAAATTAAAACAAAATAAATTAAATACATAAATAAATATATTAAAAAAACAAAAATAAAATTAAAAAAAATATTATTGGGTGTTACAACTCTCCTCCCCTTAAAAGAAATTTGGTCTCTCAAATTTGTCTCTCACTCTCAATCGAACAACTAGGGATACTGGGCTCTAAAATCTGATTCTAACTCTATGTAGCCTCTTTTAGTGTGTGGTTCTGCCATATGACCTTTACAAAGAATATTTCTCGGTTGCTGAGTAATATGCTCTTTTGATCCACGATGCCGACTGGTACTTCATCGTAGGATAAATCCTCCTGGAGTAGAAGAAGCTCGTGGGCCAGGACATGAGAGGGATCCGAGTTGTACTTGCGTAGCATTGACACATGAAACACATTGTGGACCTTAGAAAGTTCTAGAGGCAGTGCCAGTCTGCAGGCGGTGGTACTAATCCTGTATAAGACTTCAAATGATCCAATAAATCGGGGGTTTAGTTTCCCCTTCTTGCCGAACCTACTGATTCCCTTGAAAGGAGTGACCTTGAGGACCACCCGGTCGCCTTCTTCAAATTCTAAATCTCTCTTCTGGTGTCCGCATAACTCTTCTACCTGCTCTAAGTCGTTTGAATTTTCTTCTTGATCTTAACTATTTTGGATGTGGCCTCCTCTACCAGCTCTAGGCCGAACAGTTTTTTATCACCCATTTCTTCTCAACAAATCGGTGATCTGCATTGGCGCCCATATAACGCCTCAT